CCCATTTGTTTTTTTTAAAACCCTCATGTTTGTTACTGCTTCTTGATAAACACCACTCATATTTGTTACTACTTCTTGATAAACCACTCATATTTGTTACTACTTCTTGATAAACACTCATGTTTGTTACTGCTTCTTGATAAACCACTCATGTCTGAGGTTTTTGAGAATTATAAGGACGTTTCTACACCTAAACACTTTATTGTTTAGGCTCTTGGGTAAGTTAACATTTAATTTAAACATTAGTTTTGGCACATTAAAAATGTCTTATTCTTCACATGTACCTTCAGAAGATTGTGATGATCAAGGTGCTTGTGATGGCGGCCATGGAGTGTGCAGAGAGTCCTGCCTCCGCCTGGAGCGTCAAGTACGTGAGGGTTGTGGTGACTCTGACTGTAAGTGTTGTACGCTACGTCAGGCAGAGTGTTCTACCTGTAAGGATTGTCCTGGTGTTTGTGTGGACACCAGAGTTGCACTAGTCCTTTAAGGAATTACAACTGCTCGCGATCTGACTGTGTCTGCTGCGACAGTAAGTATATGGAGTTTGTCATTCTAGTGATATATTATAAATTATAATAGTCCGCTCTGAATACTTTTAACATTCTCCCCAGTTTGAGAACTCTTCAGCATGTGTGTGTGTGTACTCACCTTGTTGTGGTTGTTGAGGTCAGTTCACAGCTCCTGGTCCGCCTCATCACTGGTCGCTACTAGGTCACTCTTCCTTCTCCATGAGCTTTATCAAATCTTTTCTTAAAGCTATGTAATGGATTCTGCCTCCACTACATCACTTCCCAGACTCTTCCACTTCCTGACAACTCTGTGACCGAACAAATACTTCCTAACATCCCTGTAATTCATCTCAGTCTTCAACTTCCAATTGTGACCCCCTTGTTGCTGTGTCCCATCTCTGAATCATCCTGTCTCTGTCTACCACATCGATTCTTCTCAGTATTTTATATGACGTTATCATATCCCTCCCATCTCTCCTGTCCCCTAGTGTCGTCAGGTTAATCTCCCTTAACCTCTCATCATAGTATATGCCCCTCATCTCCGGGGCTAGTCTTGTTGCAAACCACTGCACTTTCTCTAATTTCCTTACATGCTTGACTAGGTCTGGTTCCAAACTGGTGCTGCATACTCCCATACAGGCCTAACGTAACATGGTGTACAGGGTTCTGAACGATTCCTTACTGAGATGTCGGAATGCTACTCTTAGGTTCACTAGGCGCCCAAATGCTGCAGCAGTTATTTGGTTGATGTGTACCTCAGGAGATGTGCCTGGTGTTTATACTCACCCCAAGATCCTTTTCCTTGAATGAGGTTTGTAGTCTGTGCCCTCCCCTAGATTGTTCTCCGTCTGCGGTCTTCTTTGCCCTTCCCCAATTTCGTGACTTTGCACTTGGTGAGGTTTAACTCCAGGTGTCACTTTCTGGACCAGGACTGCAGCCTGTCCAGATCTCTTTGTAGTACTGCCTGATCCTCGTTCGACTGAATTCTTCTCATCAACTTCACCATCATCTGCAAACAAGGACTCTTCGGAGTCTGTTCCTTCCGTCATGTCGTTCACATATACCAGAAACAGCACCGGTCCTAGGACTGATCCCTGTGGAACTCCGCTCGTCACAGGCGCCCACTCTGACACCTCGTCACGTACCATGACTCGCTGTTGTCTTCCCGACAGGTATTTCCTGATCCACTGCAGTGCCTTCCCTGTTATCCATGCCTGGTCTTCCAGCTTCTGCACTAATCTCTTGTGTGGAACTATGTAAACGCCTTACAGTCCAAGAAAATGCAATCTTCCTACTCCTTTCTCTCTTGTCTTACCGCTGTCACCCTGTCATAGAACTCCAGTAGGTTTGTGACACAGGATTTCCCGTCCCTGAAACCGTACTGGTTGTGGTTGATAAGCTCATTCCTTTCTAGGTGCTCCACCACTCTTCTGATAATCTTCTCCATGACTTTGCATACTATAGATGTCAGTGACACTGGTCTGTAGTTTAATGCTTTGTCTCTATCTCTTTTTTAAAAAATTGGGACTACATTTGCTGTCTTCCATACCTCAGGTAGTCGCGCAGTTTCGACAGATGTGTTGAAGATTATTGTTAGTGGTATACATAGTGCCTCTGCTCCCTCTCTCAGGACCCATGGAGAGATGTTATTCAGCTCTTTAAGGTATCTAGCTCGCTTAGCAGCCTCTTCACTTCCTCCTCGGTCGTATGTATTGTGTCCAACACTTGATGGTATACCCCACCTCTCCGTCTTTCTGGAGTCTCTTCTGTCTCCTCTGTGAACACTGCATTCAGTCTCATGTTGAACTCCTCACATACTTCGTGGTCGTTTCTTGTGATCTCCCCTCCTTTCATCCTCGGCCTTATTACCTGATCCTTGACTGTTGAATTCCTCCTGATGTGGCTGTACAACAGCTTTGGGTCAGATTTGGCTTTCACTGCTATGTCATTTTCATATTATCGTTAGGCCTCTCTTCTTACCTGTGCATATTTATTTCTGGCTCTACGACTGCTCTCCTTATTCACCTGGGTCCTTTGCCTTCTATACTTCTTCCATTCTCTAGTACACTTGGGTTTTGCCTCTCTACACCTTTGGGTGAACCATGGGCTCATCCTGGCTTTCTCATTATTTCCGTTACCCTTGGGTACAAACCTCTCCTCAGCTTCCTTGCATATTGTTGTCACATATTCCATCATCTGATTAGCTGACTTCCCTGCCAGTTCTCTGTCCCACCGAACCCCGTGCAGGAAATTCTTCATGCCTAGGTAGTCCCCTCTCTTATAGTTTGGCTTCATTCGCCCTGTCCTTCCTGCTTCTCTCTCCACTTGTAACTCTACTATGTATTCGAAGCTCAGAACCACATAGCCACTGGCCCCGAGGGGCCTTTCACATGTGATGTCTTCAATATCTGCACTACTCAAGGTGAATACTAGGGACAGTCTTGCTGGTTCATCCTCTTTTCTCGCTCTGGTAGTGTCCCTTACGTGTTGGTTAATGAGGTTTTCCAGTACACTCCTCATCTTAGCCCTTTCAGTTTCTTGGCCCCCATGTGGCTCCAGGTTTTCCCAGTAGTTCCTTGTGATTGGAAATTACCCACATTCCAGCAGCTTTGCCTGCTTGCATGGGCCCTTCTGGCACTTCTCAGTCAGGTGTGTCATTCGTCGCACGATCTGTTACTCTCATCGTATTCTTGCTTGGCCTCCTGCTGTTCTGTGGTGGGTTATACATCACTGCAAGGATAATGTGAGTAGTCACGAAAAATGCTTTGAATTTCAACTATTATTTTTCATAGTGGTTTCTGCATTAGTATATACTACTTCTGGAATTGGGACTGGAGAACCCTCATCATCAGTGAGGAAAAAGAGTAGGGGTAAAACTTGCTTCAGCGAAAACTCGAGAATTTTCCCCGGCAGCAGGCGTTTGAATATTTTCTTCTTCTGCCACCCCCTATATTCTATATTTGAAGTAGTACTTTATTAAAGTCAAAATACATTAACAAAAAATGCAGTAGGAAAGTTAGGGAAACAAGATAATAACATCTCAGACCCCACTCTCAAAATACTTCGTCGGCTCCTGTTGGTAGTCTATGTGCCCAGTAATGCTGCAGGCATTTCCTCTCATTCTGGGATCGCAACCTGGTCTACTGAAAGAGGAGGATCTGGGATGCTTATTTGCCCTTATATGTGTTCCTTTGTTGTTTTTTATTTTCTAGTTCGTTGTAATGTGAGAAATCACGAAAAACGCTTGGGAATTTTCACTATTTTTTTCACCGTGGTTGTTCTATTATTGTTGTATCACCTGGTTCACTGTGAATTCTTATTGCATCAATGGATCCTCACGACTCTTCAAAATGTTCTCTGTTACTTTCCCAAATATATTTTCCTTTTGTTTTCCCGAGTTTTTCTCTGCACTGATCAAGTCAAACAAGTCTTTGTTAAAATTCGTCTTAATTTAAAAAAAAACTGAATGAGCAAGTTTTGCCAAATATCATTTTACCAAATAGGACTCCTTGACTTTAGAGATCGTGTCCCTTTGATGATTTTATGAGAATTATTCTTCAAAAAACATTTGAAATTATTAAAATACAAAAGGAAGTCATGTCAAAATATTTGGAAAAAACGAAATATACTCCTTTAATCAGAGCCATTCCATCAGAATGGAAATGGCCTGCTGTTATAATAAATTCGAAGAATTTATAATGAAACTCAAACCACAAACTACAAAGAAAATTAGACATTTTCATTGAAAAACAAGTGGATTGGGGAACAAAAACATGTTAATAACAATTTGCAATTAACTAAATCATATGAAATATTTAAATTTTTTATTACCTCCAGAAGTTCATTTTCCTATAAATTATCTATATATCTTGTAGATATTTTGGAGCCCACCAATTTCTGAAAAATTTCTAACTTTAAATGGTTAAAGCACATAAATTTAGTGGATAAAATTAAGCCCATTGACTGACTTAAATTATTTTTAACTGGTTAGTTCTGATGTTACTTACCTTGTTCTACGAAAGTTCCAGTTGTTGATTTAAGTTTCTTATTCTGAAGAACTTGTTAATTACGATTTACCATTGCCAGTTCCGCTATCATTAAACTTATTATACTTTGTATTGTTGATGTAAAACTTGTATTTAATTATGTTTTACCACCCACAAAGAATGGAAATTCTCTTCATCTCTTCTTAGTAATTTATTACATGGAATTTTTTTAAACAAATAAACTGCTTAACCAATCCATTCCTACAACAGAGCTAATACTCATTATAGATTGTTTAATATTTTTCTGTCTTATGCCTAAGAATGTAGTTATAAACTATTCTTTGTCTTAAAACTAAATAATTTATGCTCATTCCATAAATTTTACTGTTGAAGTTTGAGGAAAATAATCATTGCCTGTCCTAAGATATTTTAATTAGTAAGGGTAACATGATTTTAAATTTAAAATTTATAGAAAAACCAACAAATAATTTTCCTATGTACACTGTTATTCTTGACATTCAAGATAGAGAAAAACTGTTCTGATTTCACATCAGTGTTTTTGAGAGCTTTTACGTATTTGTAGTCCAGAGTTCATAGATGCAGTGAAATTCAAAAAATTTTATGAAATAGCTAATGATCTAAAATATCCAAGGAAACTTAAAATGATCAATCCTTCAAAATTGACTAGACATGCTTTTTACAACAAAAAGGGGACAACTCCTACCTTTTCAACTAAAATACCGTTGGGTTCTCCCTTACCATGAAAACTTGGTTGATATGCCTTCTTTCTTAAGAATTTTATATCAAAAGTTGTATTTAAAGAATTCTTGATCAGTAAAAAAAAAATTTTGATAAAGAATTCCCCCCAAAAATGCT